CACCTCCGGCCCACCTCAGGGTGCTGAGAGGTCTGGACCCCTCTCAGACATTGCTGGAGGGGCTGGAGCCTGTGACCCCACTCCTGGGTCAGCTGAGAAGCTCACCTGACTCGGGTGCAGAGACCTCCCCCCCACACCCCTCAAAATAGGCACACAGCCCCCCTCCATACCTGGGCTCCTGGGATGCTGAAAGGGCCCTACAGTTACACAGGGACAAGTTGGGGGCCCTCTGACTCGGCTGTAAGGTCTGTGGACCACATGCCGGTCGTGGCCAGGGGATGCCCCCCTCCAACTCCGCACCGAGAACCAGGACAGTGGGGCGCGGGCCACGGGCACCTGTCAGGACAAACTGCAGAGCCGACCACGGGCCAGCAGGGGGCGCAGAGGAGCAGGCCTCCCAAGCGCACACGCTTATCCTCTGGATTCTGAACTTTGTAAACCTATAATCTCCTCCAAAACCTTAATTAATTAAAGGGGGAGAGGGCACACGGAGCACCGGGGCTCCGCCGTGCGCCACCCACCGCACCCCGGCGCTCCTCCCCCAGCGCCAAAAACCCAGCCTGGAGTCACACTTGGGGCTGAGACTCACACCGGACTTGGCCGAGCCGCCCTGGGCTCATCTGAATGCAGGAGAGTCCTGCTGCCCTGGCCAGTCCTCCCCGGCCGCCCTCCCAGAGAGGCCGAGGAAAGCCTGCTTGTCCTGCTGCAAAAACAATGGGGCCGGAAACCTGGGGAGGCTGGGGGAGGGGCCCAGCCCCCGACACCTGCCACAGCCCGCCCCCGTCCCAGAGCCCAGGGCTCCTCCAAGGGCCGCCTGCTCTGGGCCTGAAGGACTGGGGGCTGCCCACTCCTCCGGCCACTGCGATGACCCCTCACACACATCGGAGCCCAGCCCCACCCCCTAGCCCCCCGCCCCCTGCTCCCCGCCATCCTGTCTGCCTGCACACCATGTGGCCGAGGTTCCGGGCCTGCAGCCAAAGTCATTTTGCCCTGATTTCAAAAGCGCTGTCTCCCAGGACATGCGCCTTCCTGCCTGGGAGCTCCAGAGTCTAAGCCACAGGGGAAAGGCCTTTGTGGGTCCTGGAAAGACTCCATCCCCAGGGCCCTCAGTGGCTGGGACCCTTGGGTCTGTGAGGCGCCGCCTCCCGCCCTGATGAGCTCCGCAGGCCGGCTGCTCCCTTCCTCCCTTTGGCACGAGCGCCAGCATGGGTGGACCTCACAGGCGTAGTCAGTCTCTGGTGGTGCTAGTGGTAAAGGATCCGCCTGCCACTGCAGGAGACTCAAGAGACGCTGGTTTGATTCCTGGGTGGGGAAGATCCCCTGGAGAAGGAAATAGCAACCCACTCCAGTATTCTTGCCTGGAGGACCCCACGGACAGAGGAGCCTGGCGGGCTACGGTCCAGGGGCTCGCAAAGAGTCGGACACGACTGAACACGCACATACAGGCATAGTCTTGAATTCTCACGCACGAGGTCAGCTGTGGAGTCCATTAAATAAAATACAAAACCAAGCAGAACTGATCTACACAGCAGGGATTGGAGTGGACGTTTAGGTCAGTTCCCTGGGAGCAGGCACCTGGATGGGGGTTGTGTGTCTGGATCTTGGTGCCCTCACACCAATGTCCATCATGTAACTGTCCACGTACGTGTAAAACTTCATCTCCCTGTCACATGAGATTTGTGCATTCTGCCAACCACAGTCACTCCTGCTCTCTTCGTCCTTAGCAGAAGCCCGTGACCAGCTCTGGCCTGTGAACAGGAGCCATGGTCAGTCCCCCTGCTGGCCAGCAATGAGACGTCGCTAATACTCTGCCTCCGGGTGCTGCAGCTTCCTCACCTGTGCCGTGGGCATGGTGGTGCTAGCAGGTCGGACGACTATCAAGGATATCAAATAAGGACTTCCCTGCTGGTGCAGTGGATGAGAATCTGCCTGCAGGTGCAGGGACCTTGGTTCAATGTCTGGTCTGGGAAGATCCCACGTGCCGTGGGGCAGCTAAGCCTGTGCGCTACAACGACTGCGCCCCACCTCTAGAGCCCGTGCTTCGTGACAAGAGAGCCGCACTTGCCGCAGCTACAGAAAGCCTGCGCACAGTGGCGGAGACCCAGAACAACCAAGAAATAAAATATATTTTAAAAAGAATATCAAATAAGGTAATGTGTATGAAGTGTAGCAAATTTTTTAAAAAAGCTCTAGAAAGACCTCAAAATGTGTCCCCAAACCTCCAAAATGGTCTTGAGGTTTCCAAATGGTGTGGGTTATTTCTCCTCATTTTCTGGAAAAGTTGAGTGTGGGGGCATAGCTCCAGAACTTGCATCCCTGTGGGGTAAGGCAGATCCGCGTAACCAGCTACACTGCTTGTGGGGGATGGGGGCATCTGTTTCCAGCATCAGACCTGCTAGGTCGAAGGGAGCAGGAGGTAGTTGGAGATGAGCAACTTTGGAATTCGGCAAGCAAGCAAAAATTGTACATTTTAGGTGGATTTGTAGTGTGAACCAGGTGGCTTTGTAGTATGAATCAGGTGGATTTGGTGTAAATCAGGTGGATTTGGTGTGAATCAGGTGGATTTGTAGTGTGAACCAGTGACAGAGGCATACCAGAGGAAGCGTGCTGCTCACCAGAATGTAAAGATGGTAAGAAAGCTAAAGATGCTGCCAGAAATAGCTCCAGAGGCAAGACACAGCTCTCGGGATGGGATTAGCTGGAGAGAGACAAAAGCTCAGCTTCAGAGTTAGTGCTTGGTAACAAGTAGCCTTATTCCAAAATCCAACGTGATTTTTGCCACTGACTGCCAAGGCTCCTTTCTCCAGTCGGAGAGCCCGAACATGTGATGAGCGGAGGGTGCAGAGGCCCTCAGCTGGCACCCTTGGGAGAAGCTCTCCTGGTTCTTCAAGGCCACCCCCGGGGGGTGGCACACCCTGAAATCAAGCACATGGGGGTCTCAGCAGGCAGATGCGCTCACCCAGGTGTGCACCTGAGGAGTGTGGACAGTTGACACGTGCTCAGATCAGGGTTTGCTTCCCCAGGAGTGTGCCACAGACCTATGAAAGGACTTGTAGGTTCTTGGCAGATACGGTATTGAAGACCTGTGCTGTCAATCAACATTGCCCACAAAATTCCATATAATGCAAAAAGACGAAGAAAAGAGGCAAAACCTTGGGCAAGGAAGGAGATGGACATGTCCTTCTATCCATTGTCCATTTCAAAACAATAAGAGCGTGCAGATGGATTTGAAAGTTACACTTTTTAAATTTGCTGTTTCATCTATGACTGTAACATGTGTGTGCACATAGGTGTGTGTCTGTGCACACTTATGAAAATGGGCAGCCTCCTTTCTCCTCTCCCAGATGGAGGCCGAGGACACTAACAGCCCTTGGCTGACCATCAAATCCACTGCTTTCTGGACTGCTCATTTCTCAGGCTTCCACTGCGTTGCCAAGGGAGCCGCCTGCAGAGGAAGGGGTCTGTGGGCACTTTCTCAGCTGTGAAGCCTGAAAGAGAAGCAGGAAAAAATACCAGACTTGGGATAATAGTGAGATTTACTGGGTCCCTGGAGGGGCCGTCTCCTTGCTAATTAAGAGGCAGTTAGGAACCGCTTCCTTACTCAGGGCAGTAAGAACTAACATCGATCGTGAAGAAGTGTGTGATTATGTTTAACTCAAGAGCTGCTTCTGTACCATGCACACATTCATTTCTAGAAGGATTAAATATTTAAATATGAGAAACTAAGAAATGATTTCAATAAGATATACAGTAATCAAACCAGTCAATCAATCCTATAGGAAATCAACCGTGAATACTCATTGCAAAGACTGATGCTGAAGCTCCAATACTTTGGCCGCCTGAAGAGAAGAGCCAGCTTACTGGAAAATACCCTGACGCTGGGAAAGACTGAAGGCAGGAGAAGCGGGCAGCAGCGGTTGAGATGGTCAGGCAGCATCGCCGATTCAATGGACATGCATTTGAACAAACTCTGGGAGCGAGTGGAGAACAGGGGAGCCCAGGGTGCTGCAGGCCGGGGCACACAGGACCCAACGACTTAACAACAGCAGCAAATACAGAAATCATTCTAAAAACGGAGTGAAAAGCATTTCATGCCTCAGAAGTCAGAAAAGAAAAACAACGGATTTAACTATAGAAAATGTGAATTTTCATGCTAAAAATTACCACAAATATTAAAAGAGGAAGGAGTCACTGGTGAAAAAACTCACAACCAACACAAACATTGCGGAGTGCTATGGCCTGGGTTGTACCCACCCCACAAACTGAGGTCGTAATCCTCAGCACCTCACGACGTGGCCTTGCTTGGAAATGGGCTCTTTACAGGGGCAATCTAGTTAAAGTGAAGTCACAGGGCAGGCTCCAATCCCACACCCGGGGTTCTTATAAAGAAGAAAATTGGGTGGTGAGGCAGACACACAGGGAAGCTTGTGTGTAGATGGAAGGTCAGGGCGATGCATCTTCAGGCCATGGAAGGCCAAAGGTTGCCAGCCACCTGCCTGCAGCAGGAAGAGGAGAGGAGGGAGCAGGCCCTGCCAGCACTTTGACCTCAGATTTCTAGTCTCAGGACAGGGACAGGCCATTTCTGCTGTTCTCACCCACCCAGGAAACTAATTCACGGAGTTGACAGCATTTAGGTATAAAAACTCACATATCAGTCGCCAAAAAGATGACGATGCAATGTAAGGGTGATCACAGGATAGAAACAATAAGAAGACAGCAGGACTTCCCTGGGGGCCCGGTGGTTAAGGATCCACCTGCCGATGCAGGGGACACAGGTTCGATCCCTGGTCAGGGAAGATCCCACATGCCACAAAGCAGCTAAGCCTGTATGCCACAACTCTTTACCTTGTCCTCTAGGCCCCGGGCGCTGTGACCACTGAGGCCAGAACAGCACAGCGCCTGTGCTCTGCAACAGCGACAGCTACTGCGATGAGAAATCTGTGCATCACAGCAGAGAGTAGCCCCTAACCGCCACAATCAGAGAAAGCCTGAAGTAGCAACTAAGACCCAGAACAGTGGGGAAAAAAGAAGAAGATAGTAAACATATCCGCCAGGCTTCCAGGGTCTTGGGTCAGCTGGGGCTGGCTTCCAGGGTGGTGGAGAGCAGGGTGTCTGGGTGGCTTCCCCTGCCTCGCTGGAGCCCTGGTGGGGGCGCTGTCCCCTGAAGCCAAGGTCCCCGCTGAGGCCGCCCTGTGTGGCTGCAAACCTCGTGAGTCCAGGACCCACTCCCCTGCGGGGCTCCTGAGTGGGGGGCGGGCAGCCCCCGTGCCTGCCCTCTTCTCTGCAGATCCCCCCTCCTGAACCATGTCTCCCGCTGAGACAGCACCTGTGGACTCCTCACGACAGCGGCGGCACCTGGGACCCTCTGCTGCAGTGCTTACACCGGGACAAACGTCTCTTTGAGCAACAATACAAAGAGACTATAAGAGAATAAAAGCAAATGAAAGTGTACATGCTCAGTTCAGTCGCTCAGTCGTGTCCGCCTCTGCGACCCCATGAACCTCAGCACGCCAGGCCTCCCTGTCCATCACCAGCTACTAGAGTTTACTCAAACTCATGTCTGTCAAGTCGGTGGTGCCATCCAACCATCTCGTCCTCTGTCATCCCCGTCTCCTCCTGCATTCAATCTTTCCCAGCATCAGGGTCTTTTCCAGTGAGTCAGCTCTTCACATCAGGGGGCCAAAGGATTGGAGTTTCAGCTTCAGCATCAGTCCTAACAGTGAATATTCAGGACTGATCTCCTTTAGGATGGACTGGTTGGATCTCCTTGCAGTTCAAGGGACTCTCAAGAGTCTTCTCCAACACCACAGTTCAAAAGCATCGATTCTTCGGTGCTCAGCTTTCACTGCACACAAGCCCCTTCAGAGCCTCTGCATACCTCATGGTGTCTGCAGCTGTCTGGGGAGGCTGAGGAATGCTGCTGACCTCTGAGGGTCCTCCCAGAGCCAGAGGCAGCCTGGGGTGCAGACAGCACTGGGCCTGGAGTTTAGCACCTCTGTCCCAGGCAGCTCCAGCCCTCAGCAGGCCTCTGGCTAGCATAGAGTAACTGCCTGGAAGGTTTAAAGCCAAGGCTCCCGGCCCGCCCTGCTCAGAGAGCCCATGGGCTGCCTGATCTCAGGGCCACATTCGTCAAGGGTGAGGCGTGGCCGCCTCTGTGGCTCAGCACATGGCCTGTCACCAATGGTCTCCTGTCCCTGACCCCATGACTATAGCCACTGTCCCGGGATGGATGCTTTTTGTGAAGTGCAGTCCCTGCTTCTCTGTGGGACTTTCTGGCTCCAGGGAGGGGTCGGCTCAGTGACTCGGGCGAATGGCCAGCGTGGATGGAGAGACAGTGGTGGCCGACGCCCCACGTGTGTGGACGGAGGCGCAGCAGAGAGAAGGATGGGGGCTGGGCTGAGACAAAGCAGGGGACCCAGGGTCCAGGCCGCTGAATGCAGGCTCTGGCCCCCGGGGGTGGGGCTGGCTGAGGGGTGGGTTTCGTGGGGCTCTTGCCCATGTGCTCTGCTTCACCACCCATCCACACAGATCGGCCTTTCTGTCTTTGCCCTTCCCAGCCTCCAGAAATGGAAAGGACCCCATTAGTGTATCTTTTCTTGGAGGCCGGGAAGTTTCTTCGATTGCCCTGAATCTCAGCGTCTAGAAGAGCTCAAAACTTCCTGGCCCAAGAGCTCCAGGTTCAATTCAGTTCAGTCGCTCAGTTGTGTCCAACTCTTCCCAACCCCATGGACTTCAGCACTCCAGGCCTCCCAGTCCATCACCAACCCCTGGAGCTCCAGGTTATCGATGGAGAAGCCAAGGCCCTGGGAGGTCTCACAGCGCTGGACGCTGCAGGAACAGGACACTGCAGGAATGGTCCCGGTGAAGGAGAAAGGCAGAGACAGTGCACACGCAGTGCACACGTGCAGGGCACGGCCTCCCCTGTGAAGACCCTCTTAGAAATAACAACAGGGGGCCTACAAGCCACCCCAGCCTCATCCCTTCACGGGATAGGCCGCTCCCCCTGCGCCCGCAGACCAGACCAGAGCCGGACCTGCGGGCGGACTGGCCAGAAGGGGGCAGTGGCGCGCAGCAGACCCTCCGGAATCTGGTTCTGCTGGAGACCTTGAGGCGGGAGGCGGTGCCCCCAGGGCCACGTTCTAGGGTTTGGGCGGACAGGTCTAAGGTCCCACGGAAGACACCTGCGGGTGGATGGCCTGGCTCAGTCAGCAAGTGCCTCTGCAATGGGTCAGCGTGCCACCCAGCGTGGGGGAGCCTCTGGGGGCTCCCAGATCCCCCAGAATGGAGACTTGCTGCTGGGTGGGCGGTGCCAGCTGGCTGCACTCGCTCCATCAGAGACAGCGATGGACAGAGAGGAGCACTCAGTAGGAGCACTCAGGGGGAGCACTCAGGAGGACTCAGGAGGAGCACTCTGGAGGGGAACTCAGGAATAGCACTCAGGAGGGTGCCCCGCCTCCTCCCCAGCCACATTCTCCTGGGCTTTCGGACCCCCATTGCCTGCAAGTGAGTTTGAGGGCTTGGCCCCATTCGACAGACTGACAGACAGACCATGTGTGCCTTGCCCTCCTTGGAGGCCCTGTCATCCCATTGCACAACAGAGACAGGTTACATCAGCTCAGCGCCTGGCCAGCACGCGAACCAGCATTTCCAAGACTTTCTCGGCTGCCTCCCAGGTTTGACGGGGCGGTGGGGGAGGGGTCCGAGGAGACCCTCCTGACAGGAGCAAGGCCCAGAGATGTCCCAGCTCTTGCTTTGGCCTCACGGTTCCTGTGGCCACTGCCTCCTCCTCCACTGCTGCCCGGCCAGTCCCCACTCCACCCCAGAGTCTCAGAGCAGAGAAGGGCCTGTGCAGGGGCTGGGCTGAGTTCCCCAGGCCAAAAATAGGAGTAAAGCGTGAGAGTACAGTGCTGTAAAAGAAGTAAAATCAGCAAGGTTTTGATGGAATGAAAAGTTAGAGATTTTCTACAAAAAACTTAACACGAAGCCCATGTGTTCAGGATGAAGTTTAGCCTGTAAAGAAGCACAGGTCTTCAGTGGAATTCATCAGGCAAACTCTACCCTTCCCATCGTTGTTGTTCGGTCGCTAAGTTGTGTTGGACTCTGGGACCCCACGGGTTGCAGCCCACCAGGCTCCCCTGTCCCCCACTGTCTCCTGGAGCTTGCTCATATTCACGTCCATTGAGTCGGCGATGCCATCTAACCCTCTCGTCCTCTGTCGTTCCCTTCTCCTCCCACCTTCAATCTTTCCCAGCATCAGGGTCTTTGCCAGTGAGTCAGTTCTTTGCATCAGGTGGCCAAAAGATTGGAGTTTCAGCTTCAGCATCAGTCCTTCCACTGAATATTCAGGACTGATCTCCTTTAGGATGGACTGGTTGTATCTCCTTGCAGTCCAAGGGACTCTCAAGTCTTCTCCAACAGCACAGTTCAAAAGCATCAATTCTTCAGTGCTCAGCTTTCTTCATAGTCCAACTCTCACATCCACATGTGACTACTGGAAAGACCAAAGCTTTGACCATATGGAACTTGCTCAAAATCCCCGTCAGTTCAGGAGCACGCCTCCCCTTTCTGGGGCCTCCTCCATCCCCCGTGTGTGAGGAGGGAGTCAGCTCCATGTTCATCCTGGCGCTGACTGTGGGTTCAGGAAAGCTGGAGGCCTGGATGCACGCATGCGTGACTGTGGTCTCACGCCGCCCGCCAGCATCTTGGGACGGGCAGAGAAGCAGGCCTGCCCTAGGGCCAAGGGAGAAAGGGGACTGCAGGTGGTCGGCTCGTGAGTCCACCTTCCAGGGGGCCCGTGGCTCAGGCGTGAGGACGAAGACATGGGACATGAGGGAAACTGGCAGACTTCTTCGGGCACCGTCTTGCAGGGAGGGGCATAGCCGACCCAACCAGCTGCATCACCCTGACCACGGGCAGGACAGCTGTGCAGGCGTCCAGACGTCTGGTAGCACTTTTTCTCATCATCAGAACAAAGAGATGAGCGGGTATGAAGGTGCTGGGCCTGAATCAGTGGGGGATGGTTGGGGCTGGGGACATGTGTGGGTCACTCACTCAGGCTCTGGACCTCAGCCTGCAACCAGACGTCCCCTGATGAAAGCGGAGGATGATCTGAAGTACAGAAACGTGGGCGGGTGTTGTCATCGACTCAGGCAGGCAGTGCCCGGGGCTCCGTGGGATTGGAGCTGCTGGGGTGGACGCCCCTCGCCCGAAGCCTGGCTGTGCAGTGGCCCTGGGGGGGCGTCGCTGACGGCAGAGGGCAGTGCTCCGCGCGGCTTCACACGAGCTCAGCGCCTGAGATGTCTCACGCTGCAGTCATTTGTGAAGAATCCGAGGCTTGTGATTCCCACTGGCTTCTCTCCCGAAGCACATGGGCTCCCTGCCTGCCTCACGGTGAAAACATGTCTGCCCAGAGTTCCAAATTAGGGGAGTCTGTCCGGTCCCTCCAGTGACTGGGAGCTGTCCCTGCCTTGACTGTAGTTGGGGGTGGGGCACGTCCCTGCTCTGACTCGTGGGGGGTGTCCCTGCCTTGGCTGGGGGCCCCTGTCACCCCCCGGGCTGTCAGAAGGGGGCGTCTGGGCAGGCTTGACGTCACATTTTACCCATTTTTCCAAAAAAGCAGAAATCTCGGTTTTTCTAGGAAATCAAAGGTTTGAAAATCACAGCAAGGCCAAACAAAGCCTATCTGGGCGCTGGACCATTGCAGAGGGTGGGGGTGGGGACTGGGGTGTCCCAAGTGAAGGGGGTGGGGTGCCCAGCATGACAAGGCGCTCAGCAAGCACTTCTGGATGGATGGATGAATGGGGGGATGAATGGATGGGTGATGGATGGGTGAATGAGGGTTTGGCAGGGCGCCCGGTTCCCATGGGGCCCAGAGGTTGTTTACCCCGTGTCCCGTGGGAGAACACCGTGTCCAGCCGGAGCCATGTTCACAGAGGCGCTGGAGCCGCAGGGCCTGAGGGCTGGCCGCTGGCCAGGCGGTGAGAGGCTGGGCAGGAGGTTGAAGCCCTGGGCTCAGACCTGGGCTCCCAACACTCCATTTCTCCATTTCAGGGAGTGGCTGCCTCTCCTTAACCCCCTCATCGTGGTTCAACACAAACACATAAATCTCAGTTACTGCAGCCCCTGAGAAGCCTGGCCCCCAATACCCCCTGGTGCAGCTCTTCCCAGGAGGCCTGGGGCCCCAGAGTCCAGGCCAGAGGGGCAGGGGCTGGGCTGGGCCAGAGAGGAACCAGGGCGCCCCCCCCACCCCGCCCCATCTGGGGCGCTGGGTGTGCATCTGTGTCCAGGACGTCAGGGCCCGCTGCCTTTGGCCTGTCTGCTCAGGAGAGGGGCTGCTCACCCCAGGCTTCCCTCCAGGTGTGCTTGGGGAGGGGGGGGGTCTCTGTGAGCCCTCCACTGCAGTGCCTGCATGCACGTGTGTGCAAGCCTCCTGCACGTGAGTGTATGGCTGCGTGTGTGTGAGAGAGCACCCTAGCTCTCTGTATTTGTGGGGAGCACGGTGGGGATCGTATAGACTTCTGCGCGTCACACCTGTAGAATCTGCCCATCCCCTTAGTGCATTCGCGAGCGCGCCAATCTAGGAGGCCAGCGCTCAGCCTCACCCTCAGCGGCGCCCCTAACCCTGCGCTCTCAGTCTGGGAGGAGCGGAGCCTCGCCCGCCCCCGGGGAGGGCGCATTCCTGCGCGCTCAGGCTAGAGTCAGAACATTCCATTCATAACAGTCCCGCGAGCGGGGGAGGGCGGGCCGGGCGCAGTCAGTGATTAAACGGAGGGACAAGGAGGCTCTGCGTGGCTGGGCGCGGGCAGCGCTGGGGGAGAGGAGCGCGTTAGCCCTCCTCTTCCGGAACCCGCGGGTGCTCACCAGTCGCACCCAGCGCCGCGGTGCCCCCGGCCGAGGGGGCAGTGACCGCCTCAGATGGCCTAAGCACGGGGAACCGTGCCCCGCAGGCTCACGGTGGATTTTGGTGTTACTCCCATTCTACAGATGGGAAGACTGAGGCACAGAGATGAAGGAGCTTGTGCCCTGGCAGCATCGTCAGAGCAGCAGGGGCCTTTGCAAAGCCCTGGCCCCTTCAGGGGAGTTTTGATTGCCTGATACTCACATCTGCCTTAGCTGGGTGGGGCCTGGGTGTGCTGTCCCATCTGCCTTTGGTTGAGGGGTGGTGGTCTTGCTCTCCAGCTGAGCCATGCCTTCCCCAACCACAGGGCCCAAGTCCTGCCTATGGGTGGGAGTCCACCTGGCCGGCCACGGCTCTACTGGAGACCGTGGCAGCGAGAACAGGAGAGAAGCCCTGAGTCCGTCGCGGCTCCAGATGGACAAGGAGGTGGGGGGCGGGAGGAGCCCTGGTGGAGGGCACAGCTGTGGCCTCGTCCAAGGGCGGAGCAGGGCCGACGTGGAGAAGGCGGTCCATTCCCAGGCCTGCTGGCCCTGGCCGCCTGGGTGCAGACTCTGCTACATGTCTGAGGATGGCCTTATGGAGCTGGGGGCTGGGAGGCAGGATGGGTGGCAGCTCAGCTGCGGCCCAGGGAACTCTTTGGGGGGCACTGGATGGACCTTAGATTCATGCAGCAGGCAGATGGTGGGTAGCAGAGGCCCGTCCCAAAGTCAGAGAACAGTGACACATCCACCTGTACACTGCAGGTCTCCATCCAGCTGGGGCTCTGTGACCCCCGGGTTAGCCTGAACGATGATGCGTGGAGGCTGTGATTAACAGGGAGCTGCTGGAAGCGGGGTGGGGTGGGGAGTACGGTCCCCACTCACTCAGCCAAGCATCAGCCAGGGCCCTGGGTTGTTGGGGGGGGGGGAGCTCTCCCTGGCGGGCATTTCAGTGCATCACTGTCTGGTCAGTCTTTCCTCTCCTCGACACGGTAAGCAGTGATTGTCCTGCTGCCTCCGGGGCAGGGTTGCCGGAGGCAGTGACCGGGGGCACTCAGCGAACACGTGGCTCCCCTGATCCCCAGCCCTTCTCCGCCTCCCACCCCTGCACTGGATCCTTATCACGGTGGACTCCCCGACCTGCCCTCCCAGAGCCAGAGCCCAGCCTCTCCATCAGTGCTCACAGAGGCCCCTGCCTCAGTGGTTCAGAGACTGCGCGTGGCTGGTCCTGCTCGTGGTGTTTCTCGCGGTTGGTCCAGAGAGCCCCGGCCCCTGCGACTCTTTCGGGGGACCTTCGGGGTGATAACCACACTCGTGGTGGTGCCAGGAGGCTGTCCTCCCCGCTGGTCCTCTGCAGAGATCTCCGCAGCATCTCCAGGCTGATGTGCAGGCTCAGTGCCGACAGCTAATGGAGCCGTGTCTCCTTGCGCTTCAAAATCTTTCTCATGAAAATTGTGTGTTTCAGTCGCTCAGTCGTGTCTGACTCTTTGCGACCCAGACTGTAGCCCGCCAGGCTCCTCCATCCATGGGACTTCCTAAGCAAGGATATGGGAGTGGGTTTCCTTCTCCAGGGGATCTTCCCAACCCAGGGATGGTACCCGGGTCTTCCGCATCACAGGCGGATTCTTCACAGCCTGAGCCACTGAGGGAGCCAATTAATTCATTTAAAAAGGGATCCGGAGAGCAAGATGTTTGAGAATCACCTGTTTAAACCGGATTCCAACCCAGGATTTGTCTCTGAACGTCTACGAGCAGATACCTATCATGAGGACCTGAGGCTCCTCTTCTCAAAATGGACAAAGCGGTGCCTGCTTCTGGTGCCCGCTGGGCATGTGACGCTGGAGACGGAACACGGCACTGGCACACCCAGCGGGGAAACCTGCGGGGCTCGGGCTCTCCCAGGCCCCTCCGTCCTGGGGGAAGCTGGCCAGCTCCCTCCAGGTCCCAGGCGCCCGTGGGGTTTGGAGGGACTCTTAGCAGCTCTTCCGAGTCCAGCAAACAAGACCCGCGCAGCCCCTGCCCAGCGCATTCATCTCGCCTGGCACCTTCCCCAGGCGGGCACGCGGCCAGCTCCCTGCGCACACATTTTCCTGCATGTCCGAGGTGTGAGAAAAGTAACACGTTGTTGCTGGTCTTGCTGGAAAAGGCCTGGTTTTAGAGAGCACTGGGCTCTGAGCTTGTCGCAAAGTACGCTATGTGAGTCCTGACCGAAATACCAACTGACGTAGCAGAAGTTTCCTCGCAGACAAAATGCTTTGCTTGGAGATGGACCCCTGGGTGCTGACGGCTGAGCCAGGGCCCTCCAAGGGCCAGGGCCATCCTCACTGCCTGGCTGTTGCCTCCCGGGGAGCCGCTGGAGAAAGGCAGTCCCCTGGAAAAGAGAATTCAGGCCGGTGACCAGTTACAAAATAAATACACCAAGCCCGCGGCTTGCCCAACTCCCCAAAATAACTATAACAACATATGTTGGAGAAAAGATCCCATTCATAATTCAGTGAAAAATTAGGAATCCTGGGAAGAAACTAAACAAGGAAGCACAGGACAGGAGACTCCCGCTGTCATCTGAGAAATAAAAACCACTGAGTCAGCGGAGAGAAAGCCGTGACTCTGGGTAGAAAGACATGCTATTTTTCAAATGTCCATTTTGTAGCAGAAATACTTGAAAAGGAAAGCAAGTGGGTGGGATCGTCAGAGATGAAAATGAAAATCGTTTAAACCTTGAACTCCTGATGCAAGAATGGAGTGGAAAACCATGTAAAAGTCTACAGGTTAGCCTGAAGTTACATAGTCATTTCACACATGGAAAGATGACCTTTCGAATCAGCAGGGAAAGACAGCGCCATTTTCAATAAACAGTTTGGGCAAGTGGCCAACCCCTTGAAATGAAATAAATTAGATTCCTGTTTTGTGTTTCTAGATGGATTAAAGATTCGACTGTAAGATGAAACCAAGAAAACACTAGACGCATATTTCAGTGAATATTTGTGTGATCTTGGGGGTGACGGAGAACTTAATAAACATGAAACCAGAGATTAAAACAATAAGGAAAAGGTAACGGGTTTGACCAGAAAAATTTCAAAACTTCATTGTGTCAATAAATACAAACAGATCTTTGCTTAGAAACGGACCAAGGAGCTCTTCCAACTTTTCGCCAACACAGGAAGAAAAACACAACTTGCCACACTCATCCAGGCAGCAATTTTCCATCTCCAGCAGTGAAAGCAGACAGACAGAAAAACCCCTGCCCCAGCGGAGCCGACATCCATGATGAGAGACAATCCGTGAGGTGAACAAACAGAAAGAGTCGGCCCCGGGGGACGTCCCTGGCGGTCCAGTGGTTGTGAATCCACCCGCCAATCCAGGGGACGTGGGTTCAATCCCTCGTTGGGGTACCATTAATAGATCCCAGTGCCACAGGGCAGCTGAGCCCACTTGCCACAACCGGGACCTGATGCAGCCACAGAACAATACATAAATAGCAATTATCTTTTAAAAAAAAAAGGTCACCCACTGAAAACTCAAGCCGAAACCCGAATCAGCGTCTGGAGAAGCTGCCGGTGGCAAGGCAGGGGTGACTGCCTCTGTCTTCTGTGGTCCTTTAGGAGGTCATCTCAGAGGCATCTCCCTTCCTAAACCATTTCCCCTTCTTCAGTGTGTTTCATCCCTCATGTTACTTCATCCTCGAAAGGCTGAGGGTTCACAGCGTTTCACACAGATGCGTGGAGATGAACGTGTGGTTTTAACTGGTGCCAGGAAGAGGCGTCCTGATGGCAAGTGGTCCTTGGAGGGGTCATCTACATTTTAATAGCTTTCTATTTATCTTAGAGTCTACTAGGAAAGCACTGGTTTTCTATTTATGGGAAACCTATGGCATTTCTTTTTCTTTACTTTTAGAAAAAATTTTTGACTGACTCCTGTGGCATGGGAGATGTTAGTTCCCCAACCAGGGCTGGAACCGTGACGCCTGCATTGAAAAGCAGAGTTTCAACCACTGGACCTCCAGGGCAGTCCCTGGCATTTTCTTTTAAATGAGTATGTTAAAAAAAAAGAAGTATGCTTAGGTAGGCAGCTGATGTGAGGACCAAGGTTAAGTGCATGATAAAACACGTGGTTCCAACACAGGGCCCGTTGTGACCTTGAGGGAAGTGGCCACTTTCTGGGAGGGCGGGTGTGGCCGGGGCCCGGACCTCCAGGCAGAAGCTCTGAGAGGTGAGGGATCCCTGGCGAAGCTGAGCAGGATGCGGGCGGGGGTGGGGGGTTGAGCCGCAGCAGAAGGGAGGGGGGTCCTTGCGGAGGGACTGGGGGAGGAGGAGGCGTCTTGGCTACTGTGAGACCTCAGAGGGGTCCCCGGGAAGGACCCTCGGCCCCGAGGGCTGATGCTAGGCTCCAGGGTTCCTGTTG